CTTTTGTCCGCTCCGTGGCTCGACTCGGGGATGCTTACGCGGAGGCTTGTAGTCGTAATTGGTGAATACGCCATGTCGCCGAATGTTGGGATCAACATAGACCCACTCAATCGAGGGGTACGCATCGGGGGGAGTCATAAATTGCCGTCAAATTCTCAAGCTTAACTTCAAGTTTGAAGTTTTGGCAGAGCTCCAACCGAAGAAGCTGCGGGAGAGTGGTGGAATTGAATCTGATATACAAGGGGAGTGGGCGGTTATGCTTGAGCATTAATGCGAAGATCCATTCGACTCGACAGAATTTGCGGATATCATCCGCGCTGACGAAATTGACGATGCCGCCAACGGGGTTGCTGGTCATGTTCTCTATTGTTTGTTCGAGTGAATCCCAGAGTTGAGGGTGTGTTTTCGTCGATGAAGGGATTTTCTGGCGCCAGTCAGCATCAGTGAAGGCGAGATCCAAAAGTGTTGCGTGCATTGCAATCGCTGCAAGCACAGGGAGAAATGCTTCTTGCGCGTCCACCGTGGCTTTGAGCAGTGCATCTTTGGTTAAGAATGAGTCTTGGTAGCGGAAGTGGGAGGGTGAGTGAGTAAAGAACCCAAGGAAGCGATTGGGGAATCTCGCAGTGGTTTCAATGCATTGCCACCGCAAGACGGCGAGTAAGAAACCTTCAAGCCGCAGCCAACGGTTGGTGATATTCGGACTCAGCTTCCAGCGTGATTCACGAGTGATGAAATTGGAGTCCAGCGGCGGTCGCATTTGGGCTGGCACCTCCACTGTTTCCCGCTCGATTGCTCGTCGGGAAATGTTGAGACATCCGAGAAGCGGGCCTACCCAAGGTTTTGTGGGCGGGATCATAGTGGAGTGTGGGAGCTCGCTGTCAACCCAGGAAGTTTGGTAAGGGTTACTAGTGGAGGAAAAAGGAGGGGGCGCTCGTTTTGCGGTGGGAATTCGCCTTAGAAGTTGCCGATCCGCATTGAAGACGAAAAATGAAGCATTGCCTGCTCGAGTAAGGCCAGTGAGCGCAGCAGTGGGCTAAAGTGGCAGTGAGTACAGAATAATTTTGTTATTTTCTGAGAAATAACGCACATGAGGCCGTTCACGATCCTCGAGTGAGCTGACTGGGAGCAAAATGTGCTGCGATCCGACAGACATTGCGTGCGGCAGGGCCGATAAAAACACCCAACGTGTAACGTATGGGTAGTTTGGTGGCGAGTGTGCTTTGGGCGTCGGCACAAAACCAGCGGGATAGAGGGTCTGTCGAGTTGGCGGTGGGAGAAGGAAGGAGAAGAATCTTAACGTGATGTGACGTGACGTGGCATGTGATCGGCGTGGCAGTGATGTGATCGGCGTCCTTCCTTGGTTTCGACATCCATGTGAGTTTTCCTCTTCGACCCTCACTGGAAAAACTGACGCACTTAGAGCTTTATTCCCGCCAACCACTACCATTCCACGTCAAGTCCAACATGCGAGCCATACGTTACACGTTGGCTGCTTGTTTTGACTCATCTTCAACGTTGCTGGCGGCCTCAAACTCGATCGTGTTATCGTGAAGACGGCTCATATTCATCAAGTGGGACTAAAACTACTACTACGACTACAACTACTACTACGACTACCTCAGGCTTCCATGCTCCTCACGATTACATGCGATCAGTGGCTGCGACAAACAACGCGAAGTTCTTCTGCGAGATCTTGAGGGACTTCTCGACCAATTTTGGCTGGGACGCAAGCCACTTTGCATTGTAAAGACAACGCGGGAGACCTGTGGGCGGGCTCCTAGCTCCATTCGCACCCCCGCGAGATCTGGGGGCCGTTTGGATGCCTCCAAAGTGGATTTCAGCCATGCGGTCGGTTTGATCGTCGACCATTCGCATGTAGTCCACGATTACGGGCTCCCGCCAGACGCACAGCCTGATCGTGAATGTCTTAACCTTCTTCCCCTTCACAAATGTGTCGGACTCTTCTTCTTCAGACATGCCGCTGGGGCCGAGGAGGTGGAGGAGCTCGAGCATACACTTCCAGGCGGCTAAATCTTCCGCGCCGTCAATGGACTTGAAATAGATCACCGCTTCTACTGTTCGAACACGACGTTCAAATTTCTACATCGAATCAGCAACGCGTCTACTATGACTGATGTTCATACCGAGTGTTGCCCGTTGACCGTTCTTGATGATTCCCGACGTCGATTCAGCATGAAGTTGCCGCGCGCTGTCGCCTCTGCCTTGGTCTCAAAACGATTCGCTTTCTGGATGAAACGAGGCTGAAACTTGTTCCAATCCCCGCGAATCCTTTCCAGCTGCTCCGGCAATATGGTTTCCAAGTACTCGCATCGGATCTCGCCTTTTCCAACCAAGTTCGCTTCCTCCGCATCTTTTGCAATCACGTGCTCGATCACGGCTTGCATGTGGACTTAGTTCCAAAGCGAATGCAAGTAGCCTGTGTTAAAATCCCATTGGGGGATTGCTTTAGGCAACGCGATTATCTCCCCTTCCTTGATATCCTCCATTTCCATCGCAAAACTTCTTCACCTCCTGAGGCGTAGCTGATTGGTGAGTGCTGAAATCGAGGACTTGGTCGACGCCAAATAGATCGCACATAGAAGTGCGAAGCATAGCCTAATATGATCCTGGTTAGTTTACTTCACAAAGTCATATATGTTCTCACAAATGCGATAGCTTTGAGTTCTCTCGTCGCTGGTTTCAAGCTGTCCTTTGCGCTGGCCAACCTCGGAGAACGCTTCGGGCCGTCAACGACAATGGTGATGCGAGTATCCTCCCCCAGTTTCCCCAGATTCCGCAACTTCGCGACTAGATCATCCACATCCACGTCGTCCTCGTCCTCGGGAGGATTAGAGCTTGAACCAACAATTGGTGCTGGATTCAGCGGAAGCTGCGGTGTTGCATTGCTCATATTCTGCAGCAGCTCTCCACTAGGCTCGCTTATGCCAGCACCCCAACGGCGGATGAAAAGGGCAAGCACGATCACCGCCAGAGGGGCTGGAACAGAATAACCGTTGGCTTAGGGAGATCGGCGTTTCGGTCGTCGAATTTCTGGTCCGCCAGAATCGACCTTCCCCGAATCGCGAGATTTTTGTATCAGTCGATAGCCAGTGAAATTCTAAGAGTCGCTATGTTTTCATTTTCGCGAGAAACTCAAAACTACGTGTGCTACGAAGTAATCTATGATACCCGGCCGACCGGCGCCGATCCTAATATGGAAACAATGCTCCGCGCCCGACAGCAGTGTCACAGGGTGACGGTGTCGGTGGGCTAAAGATTACTTTATAGCACACGCAGTTTTAAGTTTTTCATGAAAATAAAAACATAGCAAGTCTTAGAATTCTGCTGGCTATCGACTGGTACAAACTTTTCACTGATCTGACAAGGTCGATTTCGGCGGGCCAGAAATTCGACGCCCGAAACGCCGATCTCCCTAGCCAACGGTTATTCTGTTCCAGTCGTTATTGGTTGTCACACCAATAACGACTGGCTCGAGTTTAGCTCTCCACTAAATCGACCCCCGCCGCTTTGGGATAGCTGGTGCTGAAGACTTGAGTTTAGTGCGCACCCTCTTGATCTGGGAACGAAGCTCAAGGACCTCGTCGTTGCGCTCGTTCTGACTGCCCTGTGAGTAACAACGAAAACCGATGCCATCTCCATCACTGACCATTGCACGATGAAGATTTACCGTGGTCGCCGCCAGGCCTTGCATCTCGCTCAACTATTGTATCTGTTAGTGGTCGCAAAGCGACTGAAGATTCAATACACATACCATGTTAACCACTTTCTTCTGCTCCTCTTGAAGTTTTTCGCGCATGGCAGAGTCGCTGTGCTCGAGCGCCGCCATCTGCTCGGTGGTTTTTGCGATGTGGACTTGCATTGCGAGGATCTGCTGATCCTGCTCGAGACGAATGCGATGAGCCTCATCAAGGGCCTTGGTCAGAAGCGTGTTGTGGTCAGCAAGCTGACGACGGTCTGCCTTCGCGTTTGTTGCTGTCTCCTTGTGGTACGCGGCCTCTTCGCGTGCCTCGTCGAACCTCTGGCGCTGGGGACCCGAGACGAGGGCTCGCTTGATAGGACGTTTGACGCTGGTTGGCGAGCGATCGTGAATGCCCATGTCGTCGTCCATGTTGGGAAGATGCAATGGAGTAGAGTGGTCTCGAAGTGTGTAACGCGTTCGAGCTCTGGTGTTCACGAAGGATTCAAGGTCCTTTTATATCTAGCGGTGATTTTACGCGTATATGCCGTCTCAGCAGCTTGGAACAATTGACTGCATGGAGATTTCAAATGTGGAACAATGAGCGAGATACGGCCGCGTCGCGGGGCATCTGCCTTGACAAAAATGAATCAATGCACTGATTTTACCGCCCTGGTCTTGCCGTTGAGCGCAAGGGCACTCTAATTGTCTGGCAATGACCCAAATCGTCCATATTTGATTGCCGATCCTGATCGGCCGCGCTTGGCCGGGCTTGGCCGCGGCGATGACTCATTGCTGACTCGTCATGATCTTGGCAGTGACTCGTGGCCCTTCTTTCCTCCTTCCATGTCCCACCCCTTTCGCAACCACCACCAGGCGTTCCGACGTGACGTCCCATATGTTACACATTGGGAGCCACTTCGAAGCTTGCAAGGCTCAATCAAACTCGTCATCAATTTCACGGACTCGACGAGTACATAGTGCTACTACAAACGAGGTATGGGAATCGGTACTAGCAACAAAAAGTTCTGATATGCAAATCCTAGCGCAAAGAGGACAACGACCAGCGCCATGATATACCACAGCGCACCTGCAACCCGAGGCGAGCAGGCGACGCTCGTTGGATCTCCTCCGATATACAAAGATCACATTGCGTGGCGTTATCTCGCGCGACTTCGCAGTGAAGATATGGGGACTTGGTCGATATCGCCCATCTATCGACTGTCAGATGTAGATGACACGGTTGAAACCACACGAACCGACACGGTTTGAACCCATTCGCTTGCATCAACAACCACCTTCGTCACCAACTTGCCGCTCCGAGATGTAGACGGTCCCATGGTCGCTTCCGCTCACGACCGTGGTGGAATTGTCGCCCAAACACACCTGGCGAACACGTTGCGACTTCGTTGTTGGTACTGCGAAAACTTTTGAGTCGTTCTCTATCCCTGAAGCCGTATGAATCAACGCTGGTGGATGGATCATTGATGCAGAGAACACTATTCGCCACATCGAGCGCAACACCACCTCTGGAGAGAAGTAAGTCTACATTCACGAATACTTGAGAACGTCTCACATATGACAACCAAGATTCCATGCATTCTCGACAGAAGGCGGCAAGTTTCCGCGCACAGTATATCTTTCCAACTGAGTCAGTGACTGTTATCGTAGAGGCAGGAGACACTCACACAAGCCCGCAGTGAAGCCCAAACAGCATGAGTTCGCGCTCGTTGCCAAACATCGAGCCGAACATCACTGCTTGGGGAGTACAGTTAGGAATTTTGAAGGAACAAACTTCGTGGCGAATCGTGGCTCCGCGGAGTGTGTAAATCTGGAGGATGCCGCCTCGATGGCATGCGGCGAGCCGATTCGTCATCAGGTCGAAGGCCAAACCTGTTATCTCGGCGGGCTCGGTTAATTGGCAACACCAAACCTCCTTAAACACGGCCTTCCCCGTGTCCTGGAGTCCAACTCAGTTAAGGTCGTGTCGAATGCGAAAGGTGGCGCACCTTGTCCATCTCATCAATCCAGCAAACCAAATAGCCCGATTGAGTTCCGAATATGAGCGCCTCGGCGGTGTCGTCATCCCTCTTCAGCCACACTAAACACGTCATAGCACCACGGATGGTGGAGGAGGCGGGAACTTGCATTTCGCGGCGGGATTTTAAATCCCAGATTTTTGTACCGTCCGTTCCTGTCAGCTTGAGCGCGGGTGTTACACGAAACACAATAAAGTACCTCCACTTCCCAGATATTTTCCATCGTGGCGGCATCCAAGGCAGAGAACCGCGCCAAAATGGCCGCTGAGCTGGAACTGCAACGAATAGGTGATGTCTGAGTCCATTTCGTGTCTCAGGACCATGGTACAGTCGTCTTTTTATTATAAGGGCTTGAACCCAATTGTTTACTGATCCACAATCAGATGGAGGTATCAATCAACGAGACAATAAGCCTGAGAGCGCCAAGCTCTTGACCTTAAAAGGGCTTCTTCGGAACGAGAACAAGCACTTATGGATACCGAATCTTTCATCGCTCGTGTCGCCCCTCCTCCTCCTCCCCCGTTATGGTTCTTCTGGCCCATACCGAGCTCGCTCCACCCAGCTTGCCACCTGTGCTCATGCATCAAGATCTTCCCGCTTTCTCCAAACCAATGGCGCGTGTCGCGCGCGTTGTCATTGCCGAACCCCAGGACACCCAGCCGGCGAAGGGAGCACCAAAGGGAGGAGCTTCTCGAGTCACAGCTGGAGAGTTTCCCGTTATCGCTGGTTAGACTGAAGAGTTCATCGCACGATTCACGGTGCGTCCTTGTACTACTTATGGTTTATTCACTCATCAAACTTCAAGGCTTTTGTCACCCAGCTTGCGGAGAAATCTCTCCCGGCGGGAGTGGTGTTTACCGAACAGGACCCCCAAAAGATTAAGACCATCTCGGAACAGGTGGCACAACAGTTCCCCGAGGTCAATGCCTTCAAGAAGCGTTGGCCAATCGAGACGGTACTCATCAACTTTTGCAAGAATTCCAAGGCGGCTGAAAAGAAGGCGGGTGGGAAAGCGTTCGAACAGGCCCTGGCAAAGCTTCGAAGCTCAAAAAAATCGTAGTTACGGTACTTGTACAGTAGTTTGCGCCGAATTCAGACATGTACAAAATGATTTTTTCGGTGATTATTTTAATCAGCCGGTCTGGAGACAAGGGCCGAACTCGATCACGCTGCCAAATCAAGCTCGGCCGCCACGGCCGCGGCATATTTTTGAGCGGCCGATGGCGGTCGGCCAACAGGAACTGCCAGCATGTGATCGGCCGACTCAGATTGCCGACCGGGTGCCGCGATTTCCGATCGGCCGACGTCATTCGGCTTGGCCGACAAGGCCGAAGTGGTATAGATAAGGGAATTTCATTGGATGTGACTGTCTACATGTAATCTAATCTACCCATGCTCCTGGGAATTGCCTCTCAGGGAGATCCGCCGCCGGTTGCGTTGCTTTGAGGGGAGGAGCCTGAATAATGGGTCAGCAGAATATAGAAGTGAAAGTGAAGCAGCAAACCTGATTGCGTAGGGCTTGTGTTTCTTGCCAACGAGCCCGCCGATGGCCATGGGGGCAAACCACATGCCGGCGAACTCCATGCGGACATGTGGGAGCACCGCGCTTGATTCCATGTGGGCAGAGCCTGTCATGTCCGATGGTGGCCTGGCACGGCTGAACGGGATGGGAATGGACATGACGCTTGAGTTTGCGGTTGGAAGTTCGTGGTGGCCGATTTGGCGGCGGAGGACGGGAGACTATTGGCGCGGGCGGCTGCATCTGTCGTTTTATCGATGGATATGCTGTTGGAACTGGTGTTGGCGATGAGGACAGAGGATATATCTCTAACTTATGTTTGTTGACGCGCTCAAACTCGGCCAATGGACTCCCAAATGACTTCAGGTTGTCCAGCGAGCCTAAACTCGACAGAGAGTCCAGCCGATTAGTGTAGAAGTGATCCTCCTGCGATCTCTATTAGCGAAGTCCAGAAAACACTGAAAAAGGAAGACATACAGGCACGAGGACCTCTGAGTTCTGCTCAGCGAGAGACCGAGTGGACTCCCTCATCAGAAGAAGGGACCGCTCGCGGGCACGCGCAGCACGTCTCTGTGCATAGTCGTGCTTGTATGGGTCCGTAATGAGTTTCGAGGGCGATTGCCGCCCATTCAGGGCGAAGGGAGATTTTAGCAGGGATGGGCTCGCAGGGCAACGAAAAGTCATTGATTTGCGGGACTAATCAAAAGCATTTTGAGCAGTTGAAGGCGGGGGGAGATTGACAATTGAGGAAAATCAATGGGGGTAGAGGAATGGAGATTTTCGCCCAGAGTTGCTTAGCGGCCGCTGCAGACCGGACCTGGGCGAAGGGAACAATAGTCGTGAGAGGCGGAGTGTCGGTGTGGGAGCGGCTGAGTCGGGCTAGAGGCACTGCCAACGTGTAACGTATGGCAAATGCGACAATAGCATGGGAGGGAGATGAGAGGGAGACGACGGGAGCGTGACTGATTCACATCGGTCGATCTACGCGGATCAGATCTAGACCGATCATCGGCCGTCTGACTCACCATACGCGTTATGTCACACTCCCACAGCTCCTCGTTCTGACCTCGTCCAGCTCGTACTTGCCATATGTTACACATTGGCAGTACCTCCCGCCGGACGTCCCCAGTCAGCTTTCCTTCTGTTGGAGCGCCTTCGGGTTGGCCGCTGTCGCTGCCGCTCTTGTCGGCCTTGGCCTTGGCCTTAGCCTTGGCACCATTGGCGTCGGTTCGTGCGCCGCATGATGCCTGTACATTGTCTTTTTGTTGCCCATTTTCGTCTTCCTAATTGTCTGTAGGGTTTAAAACAGCTCGTTGAAGACGCAATCATATCAAGACATTCTTTCCAATGTGCGGACACCACCACACCTGCTGCCCAACTGTCGCAGACTCTTTTTCCGGTTCGTCGAATCCGCGTCATTTTCGCCGTCGCTGATGCCGTTTAGTTGCAGAATTTTGCTCCAAATGCGATATCTGCCCCACCTGCGGAACCCCGCCTCAGTCCGAAACGGTCATTTCGCCGCCTTCCCCACTGTACCCCACCAGCTATACTTTTCCTGGTGCTCATTTGCCAAATGGTGATCAAGGTATGTTTCTTCAATCCTTCCTATTCTACGGCTGACCACATTCACAGCATATGTTGCCCCTCGTATTCCGCCCCATATGCTCGTCACTTTGGCCCTTATCCAGGTTCAGCTTGATGGCGGGTGGACTTATTTGATTTTACCCTATACGGCTATCTTTGTACTCTTTTGCTTGTCCTAAACACATGGCTTATGCCCAACGCGAAACGATTGATGTGGAACAACGACATCCATAAGCAGAATAAGGGCGGCTGCTGTATAAAGAGGCCTGGCCGATTTGCGAGAGTTAATCTACTCCTGCCTCCTTGTCATACGTTACACGTTGCCAGATGGCGCCGGAGCATTATCGCTGTAAACGCTGTCCCTTGAACGACCGTGTGGACCACATGGTTCTCAAGGTGGACAAAATCCAACACATGCTTGATATTCAGGCTCATCTGGACCGGGAAGCGGCAGCTGGGCAAGCCATTGACGAGCTCGGAAATCTCCTGACTGCTATGGTTGTTACGGACGACGATATTCGCAATCCAGCACAAGAGCATTCCAGGCTATTCAGCTCACGCGATGCTTCTCAAGCCGACGCGCCTGATGTTCCAATGGCCTTTGCAACCCTTTCCGCGGACGATGCGATGCAGCACCTCACCTCCGTCTTATCGCAGCAAGTACCTGCAGAACAGCCAACACTTGCGATGGAAGCCGCGGCTCTAGCATCTGCCGCGCAGCCATCCCGGGTGCGGTCTCGAGAGCAAGATGAAACCCTGCTGCGAGATATGTTGCAATGCATCCGCGATGCTCGCGAAAAGCTCACTATGTCACATTCCTTGGATGCCGCCCCCGAAATCCTGGAAGCCGACCTTGAACATGCGGCAACCTTCGTCACTCAAGCTAGCCAACTTCTGTCAAGCATCAAGATTGTGTCGGAACCCTCGCGACAAGTGAAACGGTTGCGCCCAAGAGTTGCAGGAAGTCGCGTTCCAGAACTTGTGGAGAGTGTCCGATCTGAAGCTCGCCTTCTTGACGCTGACATCGATGTCATTGGTGCCATTGTCCCGAAGGTGGCTGCGACTGATGAAGTCAAGTATGAATCAGGTACATGGTTTCTCTTTGACTATAAAATGAGTTCTGACCGCGACTCTAGGCCACCACTTCATCAACCCAGTGGGCATTTACGATACTGTAGTACAGGTTGTGACCCTACTAGCGGTTATATGCCATGTAGTCATGAGGGTCAGCGAAAACCCTGTGAATCTCATCCTTCGTTTCGTGAATGTCATCATTCAACTGACGATGTCAACTGCATCTTCGAACGCCAATCCGACACCCAAACAAGAAGACATCTTAAAACAGCTTCCAACAAGTCTAAATATGGCATTGCGACGCTTTAAGCTTGACCCAACAACTGTTGTCTATGCCACTTGCCCATCCTGCCATTTCATCCATAAACCGACAACCGACAGACTCACGGGTGACGCTGTGTATCCTCGCACGTGTCAAGGCTTCCTTTATCCCAAAGATGGTCCATTTGTTGGGTGCAACGAGGCATTACTAGAGTTGCGCAACGGCAAGTGGAGACCGATCAAGCCTTATGTTTATGCGTCATTCCTTGATTTCCTGGCCAGCATGCTTGCAGATGCCGAAATCGAGAAGTTATGTGAGGCTGCTTGCGACAAAGCCTTCAAATCTGTCAATGAAGCATTCCAAAACCCAGATGCTCCACCCTCGAAGGAAGAGGTCAACAGTGTGTTTGAAGCCGCGTTCTTGCGGAACTTCGAGGGTCCCGTTCCTGACAAGCTGTTCATTGAACGTGATGGGAACCTACGGCTCGCTCTTGAAGTCATGCTAGACTTCTTCAATCCTAACGGAACTCGCAAGCGGGGAAACCACGACTCCATTGGTCTCCTTGCTGTCGTCAATCTCATTCGCTATCGCCCCGAACTGATGTGGATTAGCATTATTGTTGGCCCACACGAGCCCAACCACGACCAGGTTAGCTACTACTTCCGCCCTCTTATCGACGATTGTGTTGATGCCTGGACGCGTGGCATTCGACTCTCACGAACAGCATTGTATCCCGAGGGCCGTCTAGTCCATGTAATGATTGTGATTAGTGTGAATGATCTTCCTGCAAGTCGTAAGGCCAATGGCCTGGCAGCTGCTACATTGGACCATGTCTGCTCTGTTTGCGATCTCATAGGTGTCCAAAACATGTACCGTACCGACTTCAATAATTGGAAAGCCCGTGATGTAAAAAGTCTTGCGTGCGAAGGCCTATGAATGGCGTGAGGCTCCCTCTCAAGCTGTCCGCAACCAAATCTTTTCCGAGTATGGGGTGCGATGGTCAGAATTCTGGAGGCTTCCATATTGGGACCCGACCAAGATGGCTGTTGTCGATTCTATGCACTGTCTGTTTGAACGTCTTGTCCACTATCATTGTCGCCGAGTTCTCCGCCTTGACGCTAAGATTGCAAAGCGCAAAATTGACGCTGGCGTGGCATTTGCTCATGAGTGGGTTGAGTTTGACCCTGCTACATGCCATCCCGACTTCCTTCTTGGAAAAAATACAGAGAAGGAAATTGGTCAGATTCGGAAGATCCAACTCAGACTTGTTGAGCCTTTGCAAGCTGAACCCAACATTGATGCTGATGGTGATACCAACATGCCTTCAGCTCAAGCGGCTGCTGCAATCACACCCGAACAGCTTAGGGCAACATTAACCCAAGCAAACCGTCCTGCATTGCGATTTGTCGCACACTCTCTAGGCTTGAATATCAGCAGTGCCACCACAAAAAATGACTTTATTGAGCGTCTTATTGCATGGGTGGGTTTGCTTTTCTTATTCTTTTACAATCCTTTCTAATTTGTTTTGCAGCGGTATACAAAACCCTTGATTGACCCCAACTTCATGCCACGTGCGATCGACTTGAAGCAACTCAAATATGTTCAAAGCGTCATCGCAAACACCTCAACACCCTCATGGATTGACTCTGTTCCTAGTAACTATGGTGAAAGCAACGCAGGGACAATCAAAGCCGCTGAGTGGCGTATTCTTGCCACTGTATACTTGCCTATTGCTCTAGTCATGCTGTGGGGTGATAAATCAGACAGCCAAATGCTGGAGATGTTAGATCATACCATGGCCCTCTTCTCTGCTGTAACCATTGTCTGTCGTCATACAATGACAAAACAGCGGGCTGAACAGTACCGCTCACTCATCAAGCATTGGGTTGATGGCCTACGTACGGTTCATCCACATACTCGATCTCACCACATGCGACCCAATGTCCACATTGCATTCCATATCTACGATTTCCTTATCTCATTTGGCCCTATCTCATCCTGGTGGTGCTTCCCATTTGAACGTGTTATTGGATTCCTTCAGAAAATGAACACCAACGATCACACTGGTGGCGAACTGGAGGCAACACTCACTCAGTCATTCTTTTGCGGTGCTGCACTGCGTCGTTGGCTCTGCCGTCCTGATTGTCCTCCTGTTATCAAGGAGTTGAAGGCTCTATTTGATAAGACCTTCCCTTCCTACAATATTAAATCCGACTCATTGCCAGCGGCACGCGAGGGTCCTCGGGCGCATTATACCAGAGATGGTATCAACTTCTCTCGGGCTAGTACACCCCTTGGCAACAGCCTAGTGCTCTACTATCCACCTGGCTCTAATACTCCAGTCCCAGGTAGCATTGAGCAGATTCTGTCTTCAGACAATGGTCAAGAAATCAAGTTTGTTATTCGGCGTCAAGCAGCATTGGCAGCGCATATGCATGATCCGTTTGCACGTTATCGCCACTGGCAGTTCCCTGCCCGTACATACTCATCTCAGATGGAGAACTTTACTGAGACTGTAGTTGTAGATGATGTGCTTTGTCATTGTGCTCGTTATAATTTCCCAGATCTAGAGCGTTGTGTAATTTTGAATTTAAGTAGAAGCTAGTAAATATATCTTGTTTAAATATTACTCTTGGCTGATGTGTGGCTGCGCATCGGCCGATCATCGGCCACTAAGAATAATGCACCCTTTTTTCACTATTATCTGACCTGCCTTTTTTGTTCTCCTTTTTTATTGAATAAACTGGTTTTATTTTTATAACAATTTTTTGGACAAAAAATAGATGAAAAAAGTGGGGAAAGATATCAGAACAATCTGGGTTGAAAAAAGATAGCATTTTTTAAACTCTTTTTGTTTTCAAAAATGCCAGCTTATTGAGACCTAGATTGTGATCAGATCTGGGTCCTTTTTTTTACTTTTATTGTTCATAAATCTGGTCAGAAATATGGACCATTTTTGGATGGATATCTAGGCAACAAAAATGGTAGGCATTATTGGCAACTTTATTTCCCTCATTAAAATTTTTAAAAATGCCCCACTTTTGTTCCGAATCTTCCGAATCCTCGGGGTGACTGGCGGTGGGAGCGCGAGCAAGCGCGTGTCGCGTCGATAGCCGGTCGGTCGTCCGAATCCAGCGACGTTGCCGCGGACAGCCAAAACAAGACCGGCCGGCACATGTATTCCCGCACGCGAACGCGCAGCGCAGCAGAGGAAGGTGCAGAGGAAGGTGCTAATGGTGGTGGTCAAGAAGAAAGAAGCGCTTGACGTGGCACGTGCGGCACCGCATGGTCCGTGCGCGCCACGTCAATCATGCGCAGATGCCCACTTCTCTTCCTTGCTTTCCCCCGCCTCCCGTCCCCGCCTGTCGCCCTTGTCTCGCTACACTGCCCGCTACTCGCCCATGCGCGCTGCTCCTATATGGCAGGCAACGGTTCCGTGGGCCCTCCGCAAGCCTTGGACTCACGCGTTGCGTTCAAGCGCGGAAGCTGGAGGATATCCTTGCCATCCTCTGCGTGGGGAGCCGGGTGGCAAAAATGCTCGCGGGTTAGTTAGTGGGGAACTCTGGTGCGCGACCTTTGATCCCTCCCCCCCCTCGCTCACCACAGACAAGTAGTATTTCTTTTGGCTCAGTCGTTTGCCCTTCTTAAGAAGAAGAATCTCAACGCGTTTCAAGCCGCTATCGCGCAGTCGGTGCCCCACCAACCCCAGCTTACGCGTTACCAGCAACTCACTCTTGGCGCGGACCATGACCGCAAGGCCAGATTCCACAAGTCAACGGCGCACGGCTGAGCCATGCGACCCTCTTCCCAGCAAATATCACGTTCCTCCTTGCCAATTGCCGACTCACCTATTAAACGTCTAACCTGTCCAGTGTGGTCAATACCGTAGCACACCGTCTCCGCGGCGCATCGAGAACCTCTGTTGTCGCCAGACAAACCCTCGAACTCGACGGAAGCCATGTCTAAACGCTCAGCTCAGACGACGACCAACAATCCGAGTTGTCCCCTGCCTGCATGCTCCCCCGTCGCCCGCCCCTCTTCTAGTCAATTGCACGACTCCTATTCATATTCTACACACACCAACTAATATGATATTCAGTCCGCGCCGGTAGCAGCGAGTAAGTAAGTAAAGTGCAATGCAGATAGGATAGCAATACGCGTACGACGATCTAAAGACGAGTTAGCAGTGGATCACATCCTACACCACCGTTTTGGTGCCCCAAAAATCCTCCACCGCCGCTGGCCATTCGTCCGGTTTCGCGTAAACCTGTTGCAGCGCGGAGAAAACAGCGAACATGTGGTCCACAAGCCGGCTCCAAGCGTCGCCCTTGCCCGCAATCGCGAGCGTCGTGAGCGCCTGGTGACATCCGACCTTCTCTGCGAGACGCAACAGGTTGTTCACGTCAGCTTCTGCCTGCGTGGGTGCAAAGCCAAGGACAAAGCCGCCGGCGATGCCGAGCCGCTGGAGGACGGGCGTGGCGATTGCGTTCAGCAGAGAGTTGACCTCGCTCGCCTGCGCTTCGCCCGTGAGGACGAGTGTCTCTAGCTTGGGCAGGTGTATTACGGGGAGCGCGGCACCTGCACCCGCAGGCGGCCAGCCCCAAATGTCCAGCCAACAGTGGGCCAGCGCGGGCGTGCGAGCGAGGATCGGCGCGACATAGGTGAGCGCGATTTCGCACAATTTGAGCGTGGTGAGGCTGCGAGTCTGCCAGATGTCCGCGTCGGCGAGCCGGAGGGTGCGCATCTTTGAGTAGTACGTGTCGTCCGCGAGCTGCCCGACGAGGGTGTGCAGGTTCGGGGCACTGAGCAGGGCGAGACATTGGTCTGTGTCGAAGCTGGCGCCGGTGACGTGGAGCTTGCGGAGCAAGGGCATGACAAGGCGCGCGCCCGTCTCCAGCTCTGAGACAGGCGACGCAGCGGGCAACGTGATGTCGGCGTACTGCCAGCGGGCGCGGTGGGACAGGAGCGTCTCGAGCGCAGCGGATATGATGGTGGCTGGCTCGTGAGTTCGGCACCGGAACATGATGGAGACGGGGAGCGCGCCAGACCTCGCCAGCCATGTCTCAGCGGCACGCAAACGGTTCTGTGCAGCACGACTCGGGATGTGCCGCTGCCAGAGGTCCCTGTCCATGTCCACATCCATGTCAAGCTCGATGGGTAGCGCATTATCGAGATGACTGATACTGGCCAGTGAGCGAGCTGCGCGAGAGGTGTCCAGCGGGATAAGACGACGATAGATCGATAAAGGGCATTGGTAACTGGGGATACAGTAGAAGGGTAGGAGGTTGTCGGAGGGGAGACATAGATGAGGCGGGCCGAGCTACGAGAACAGATATCAGTATAAGCTGAAGCAACCAAATGTAGCACGCACCGAGACACCTCAGTCTACCATCCACCGTCTCCTTCCAAAACTTTCGCGCGTTCCCTACCAAGTCCACGCTTGCTCTGTGCGCCGGCCCAAATTCAGAAGCTTCATACGCTGTCGAACGTCCTAGTCATCGCGGCCGAGCGTACACAAGCACAAGCGAAGAGTATGCGCCGCCCACCCGCAGGTGGTGAGGACGCAAGAAGCCGTGCTGGCGCCCGAGATTGATGTCACGGCTGCGGCGCGTTGCCGGCGTAACGTACGCACCACGGCTTGTCCGCTCCCGCCGCTGCGTCGGCGTCGGTGCGCGGGCGGTTGACGCCAGGAAGGTACTTAGGGCCGATGATGGTGGTCGGGAAGAAAGAAGCGCTTGACGTGGCACGTGCGGCACCGCATGGTCCGTGCGCGCCCCGCCAATCACGCGCAAATGCCCACTTCTCTTCCTTCCTTTCCCCCCGCCTCCCGTCCCCGCCCGTCGCCCTTGTCCGCCCGCTACGCGTCCACGCGCTCTGCTTATATATGGTAGGTAATGCTTCCGTGGGCCCTCCGCAAGCCTTCGACTCACGCGTTGCGTTCAAGCGCGGAAGCTGGAGGATGTCCGTGCCAATTCGTCTGCGGGAAGGAGCCGGTGGCAAAAACGCTCGCTGGTTGGTTAGTGGGGAAATCTGGTGCGCGACCTTTGATACCATGTTCCTCTCGCTTACCACGGACAGGCTCCGAAGATTGCCCTTCTGAAGAACACGTTGCTCTAGCCGCTCTGTCGTTGCCCCACCTCTCCAGCACCAGCTTGCGCGTTGTCGACTCACTACCAGCAAATTACTGTCCGCGCAAATCCATAACAGCAAAGACCGATTCTACAAGTCGACAGAACCTGTCCAAACGCTCAGCCCATGCGCCACCACCCTCTCTACCGCCATATCACTTTACTTTCCTCCTCTACAATCGCCGACTCCCCTCGTAACCGTCAAATTCGCCTCGCGTGCTCAATACCGCAGCGCGCTGTCTCCGCGGCGCATTCGGCAGCCGAACCTTCGTGCTCAACGGCAGCTGCGTCGAACGCTTAGCTCAGACAACGCCCAATCGCCTTCCACACGGCCATCGACCCTGCCTCCATGATCCCCTCCGCACGTACCTCTTCTACTCGACGACACGACCGACTCTTCGCAAACAAGCCGGCCACGCAGCGCGAGATGTCAACGCGGCGGTGCTGCTCCCGTCCTTGTCCACCTCACGCCCGCATTTCCAACCTCTGGGCTAGAGTAGCTGGTGTCGACCGGCTACTTACATACCAGGTATACCCATACTTTTTTTGTCTTGACTATTACTTACCAAATACATTTGCTATCGCATTTTTCTACACACATCGACGAATACTTATATATGATGTCCAGTCCCCGCACAGCGATATAAGTAGCAAGTAAGTGAATACAGTACAGTGCAATGCAGATACGATGAAATACGACAACGACAGATAAACGGTGGGTCTATGCAGAAGAAAACGCGCCGTTTATAAAAGACTCACCACTCACGCACTGGTCGACGGCCTCCCCAACGGCGGGCAGCGGCCTAACAGGTTGGGAGGCTATTGAGGCCGTGTGAGAGTGAAATCAATCAATCGATTATCGGTGTGATTTTTTTTCAGGGGTTGCTCTGCACTATCACTGACATCCCTCGCCACATGCATCCCAGCCTCGGCATCTTACGCTCCAGGTATTGCAGCATGTAGCCAGCGACACAACCCATCCCACTACAAGCAGTGCAGATCTCGCGCGGCTAGCGAGGACTTCGTGGCTTTTCTCGCACTTTGCGCTGGAGCAGCTCTGGGCAGACGAGCGCTTCCTGGTACGAAGGGACCAAGTGCTGATTAACCTCCTCCACTGTTTCCCACCTGACCTGGTGACAATTGCCCAAACAGACGAAGGAATGCCGGAAGTGGTGCGTTCCATACACATATGTCCAGTGACTAATTCACGACGATCACCTGTAGCGTCAGCTGCGGCCCTTTGCCTTATCCGACTTGGACCGCCCAGCGCGGTACTTCCATCTCATCAAGAAGTTTTTCCATATGCCGACCAACTCTAGACGGCTGGAAACGAGCATCTTGACGCTGTTTGCAACATGGCCACCGTGGGATTGTGTGTTTCCTGCACTCGAACAATTTGGGTGGACCCATCCGTTTCACGGGTATAATGCACTTCTTCTTCGCGTCCTGCTGTCGCCGAAACTCAGATCCCTGTCCCTGATTGGCATCGAAAAGGACACCCTCTCCCTGCTCCCTCTTATAGCCGCCCGCAAATTGCCCCTTCGACACTTGACTCTTCACACAATGAGACATGAAGGCCCCTTTCCCGCGGAATCGCTGGCGATGTTCTTGTGCACCATAGACGGCCTTGAAAAGTTGGATATTACACCAGGCCTTCATCGCCAAGCTTTCAGCAATCCCAGGTCACTTGCGAATCTGACAGATTTGAACATTTCAGGCGGCATTGACACACCTCCATGCGACACGGCCTTCCCGGCACTACAGCGCTGTGTCTGGTCTGAGACAAATCTCATCGATGCCCCTCAATTCCTGCACGCCATACAAACATCTCCGCTGGAGCTGATCTCATTTGAACCTGGACTCCGTGCTGCCACCACCACGCTCATCTCGCAGCTCTTTTACGCGCTCGATGCACTCGACACAGCGCGCATCTCACTGCGCAGCTTCGCCATCAGAAACTTCAAGTATGATCTGCTGACGCGATGGGAGGGGGTCTGCCAGTGGCAAGTCAGCGCGGCGGCGATCTCCCACCTAGGTAACTTCCCCGGTCTTACCAATGTGACGTTAATTGCGCAATGCGGGCTCGGTGCCCTCGACGACGCGGCCATGGCCACGCTCCTGCAACAGCTCCCGCGCATCGAGCAGCTCTGCCTCATCCAGCCGAACTTAAAGGCCGGAAATCAGCTGACGCTCCAATTTTTGGCTGTTGCCGCGCGCCACAAGTGCCTGCGGCATCTGGAATTGACGATGGACGTCAATGCCGGGCCGCCGTTGGGGCCAGTCGTCCCGTCAAACAGCGTGCTCGCGACATTGGGTGTGGGGCATACAGTTATTGCCTACACGCACCCGACCCCGATGGCCCACTTGCTCGCCGTGCTTTTTCCGGCGGTGAGACACATCAAACACCAGTGGATGGAGGACTGTGATGGCCTGCTCTTCCACATCGCGTTTGATGAGGCAGAGCGGTTTGCTGAGCGGTGGGATGCCGTCGCGAGCTTGGTGAAAACGAGGCAAGTGGTGATGCCCGAGTAGTGATAGGCATAGAGCTGCGCGAGCTTGAATAGCAAAGGCTCATCGTACACCAAAAGGGTCTCGTCGTTGACGACTAAGGCGGTAAGAAGGTGGAAAAACATAGGAAAGATACTGTTGAACCATTGTCAACGATTACTCGAGTGATAGTCCAAAAGCACACCGTGACAAAGCCAAAGATTCCCCTATCTTGCCGATGCACCACTGCATCGAGTGATTTTGAAACCCACGCGCAAAGCATTCCCCAACGATCCCATGGGCGACCACGGCCAGAGCATACGAAGCCGTGCACAACACGAAGAGCACTGATCTGTTGCGATGACGTGCTGTCAGCCTCTTTGTCAGGTAGCCACCACGTTTGGCGACGAGAGACGCGCGCTTCCTGCGAGGGAGGAGGTACAAGACGGCAATCGCTGTCGGATAGAACGAAGTCGAAGGTGGGCGTACACGCCCTGAATTCGGAAGGATGGAGGGAAAGAGGGATAGCGCTGACTCGGAAGCGGAAGGGAGCTGAGGCACGTATCAGGGGACTAACGTGTAGGATAACGAGGAACGCACCAACAAAGCAACAAAGTGTCCCGCCCACTCGTCCCAGTCCCATACTTCCGAGGGTCATATGCGCCTCTATCTGCGTCGTATCCACACACACGAGCGCTGCTGTGTCAACCTCTGTCTTTCCCCACCAGTTCTCCCCATCAACGACCCTGCGCAGCGCGGGCGCATAGTCTATGTTAAGTAAGGACAGCATCACAGGCAACGGAGCGCGACATACGTTGTCCTCGACGCGCCCGTCGCAGAGGGTCGATATTTAAAGAGGGACACGCTAGCGCTGCTGAGCGCGGCTTGCTCCATAGTCTGCCAATGCATCAACAGAAATGGACGGAGAGGTACGGCGACATACGAGGATACTGCTGGCGACGTCGGGATGCGGAGATGTGGCAGTGACGGGAATGACTCGCGCGAGAGCGCCAGGGCACACCATTGCTGCTGCGACGAGGCGGGGGCAGAAGAGAAGCATGGGAGCAAGCCTGCGGGCGGCTGCCGAATACAGTCGTTCTTTCGCGCTGGCTATATATGAGAAGCTCCAAGTGCTCCAGCAGGTGCCAGATGCTTGATATGAGTGGCGTGCCGTCCTTCAAGGAGCCGACGAAGACGTCGCGTCACTGCCATTACCAGTTAGATACTGCTTATACTGCTTATACTGCTACCAACACATAGTAGTCAGCCAACATTGTCGAAGAAGTATATCGATAACGCACCTCGGAGCATAATCCAGCTGCAACGGCCATTGCTCTATGTCTTGCTTTCAAGACGCGCCACGCCGCCTCAGCAAAGCGGCTGCCCAAATACCGAGAGTGTGGAGCGCAGTAAAGCTGCCGGAGGGCACAAGCAGGCGGGTCCCCAGGTGTTGAACGCCGTTCCTGAGCCACATAGAAGCGCCCTTGTAGCCGCCGTCGACAAAGCGTGCAGCGGAGCGGTGAGCCACATGGACGTCAGGACGAAGAAGCGATTGACGTGGCACGTGCGGGACGGCATGGTCCGTGCGCGCCCTGTCAATCACGCAGATCGCCCCGTTCCTTCCTTCCTTTCCCCCTTTCTCCCCGCTTTGGTCGTCCGCGCTATGGCTCCGGTAGACGGTGCGGGACACCACCCTTCAGTAGTCTGTTTGCTAACTGCGCTCGTTTCAGACTGGCAAGGTGACGAGAGCATTCCCGTGACAACGAGATGCACTCAAGCTGGCTCTGTCCGCGTCAGCTGCAACGAGCGCGTATGTCTGCCAATGACAAGCAGGGCATACCCGGCGTCAGCACTGCTGCGTGACGTTGTGCGAGCGCCGCACTTTGAAATGTACAGAACGCGATGAAGGAGCTGGATCTAGACGGGCACGTCGGGGCCGTGTGCGTGGCCAGTTGAACATCCACTCAGCTGCAATCTTTGTCATTCCCCGCACTATCACTACCCCGCTGTGCCTTTTCGGTCAGCGAGTCCATATATCCGCTCTTCCAATGACTAGAGTTTCATGCTCGGTTTGAGCGCCATCATCTACGCCCCCAAGAAAGCCCTCGAAAACGATTCATCACACGTTTCACTGGTCCGTGCTCCTCATCCCTCTCTTCACTTGGTTTATGCGTCCAATACAGTCGGGCCTACGATCTTACTGGACAGATTAGCGCATTCGGTGAAAGTGGTCCTTACACCTTCAGGTTTTGGTCCGACTCTATGGGTCCAAAGTGCGTTGTTCGTCCCATTTTCTGAATAACCTTGCTTAATCCATGCAGACCTCGTGATCCCACCTCACGCTTCCCCTTCCCCGGTACCACACCAGCTCTTTCCCCTCCCCAAAATCGATATCCGTCCTCATCCACGATTAAACACAGGCTCTCCGCCGTTGTCGACGTTCAAGTTTGTGGCCGAATATAGCGCCGATTCCCTCAAATACGAAGAACTTGCCTCCTTGGCCCTTCATACCGCCCCAAACGGCTTCTCGCACCTAACTCTCCTGGTGATGGCCTGTCACTGCCGCTGCCACAGAACGATTCTCTTGCCCTATTCTCGACATCGCCAATGCCAACGCTGTCCGCGGCCATCTTCTCAGCGTCGAATGATACTCGTATATTGGATATCTTCGCTTCGACCGGAACGATCCGGGGTCCACGAAACCCTATCAC